TTTTTTTTTTTTTTTTTTTGGTACCGGGGATCAAACTCGGGACCTTGTGCTTGCGCAGCAGGCAGCGAAACCACTGAGCTAAATCCCCGGCCCAAACTCAGCATTTTAATAAAGTAAAAAAAAAAACCACTCACTTACTCTCATGTGGTTCTCAAGAAGTCCAAGGTGGTTCTTATGGAGCTCAAATCATGGCGTCAGGAGGGCTGGCTCCTCTGGGGGCACTGAGGAGAATCCATTCCAGTCTTCCACCAACTTCCAGAGGCTGTGGCCTCCCCTGGCTGTGGCCTCCTTGCAGTCTCTTCTGCTGTCATGTCTGCTTCTGTGTCCTCCAACCTTGCTCTGCCTCCCTCTATGCACCTCTATGACTACACCGGGTCCACCCATACAATCTGAGACAATCACAATCTCTCATGTCAAGATCCCAATTCCATCTCCAAAACCCCTTTGGCCATGGAAAATTAACACCTGCAGATTCCAAGTGTGAGGATGTGGACCTTCTGGGAACCCATTATTAGCCGTGTACACCCCTCCCCTACCACCCTCAGCCCCCATTCCTACAATAGTGCACATTGTGTGCAGGATGCAAGGGAAGCATTGTCATTTCCAAAGAAGCCAGGACACTGAAGCTCCGAGGGTAGCGACTTGTCCAAGGTCACATGGGCAGGATGTGGAAGCAGAGTCAGTACCTAAGCTCAGGAAAGTCTTCCTGAGCCCAACCCCATGCCCTGGCCACTACCCCACACTATCCTGCCAAGGACTGTCGTTTCCTTGGTGAGAGCCAACATTTATCAAGTGTTCTGTCCCTGGCAGCTGCCCGTTTTGAACGTCAGTGCTTTGTCAGTTGGGGTTCTCCAGAGAAATAGAGCCAGTAGGATTTCTTATGGGAATCGGCTCACACGGTCGCAGAGGCTGAGACGTCCTGGGGCCCGCTGTTTGCATACTGCCGACCTGGCTGAGCTGGTGCATGATTCGTGTGACTGGACCGAAGCCCAAAGGCCTGTGAACCCAGGAGGAGAGCAGCCTCCTGCTGTAAGTCCTTGAATCTGGAGCCCCAAGAGTCTCAAGCTTTGACGTCCAGGGCAGGAACAGAGTGAAGACCCCACCCCAAGAGCAGCAGATTTGCACTTCCATGGCTGTTTGTCCCATCTGGGCCCTCAGGGAATTGGACAAGGCTCACCACATCAGGCCACATCTTCACTCAGTCCCTTGGTTCAAATGCTAATTTCTCCCAGAAACACCTGTGCAGACGCCGGAAATCATGTTTTACTAGTGATCCAGGCATCTCCAGCCTGGCCAAGTTGACACCCACAGTGAACCATCACAAGCCCTACGAGGTACAGGTGAAAGCCTGCTTTGACAGGTGAGGAAACAGACCCACAAAGCCATTTGCCCATGGCCATACCACCTGGCCTCATGTCAAAGCTCATGGGCTGTTTAAGGATTATCTGGTGACAGGATGTGAGAGAGGACAGTCGATGACACACCATGTCTGAGGCCATCAGCTGGGATGTCCCAGCATGGACCTCAAGGCCTGTGTTTTTGCTGTCTCCCACTCCCCCCTCACCCCACCACATGCCTCACCCAGCCCGAGGTGGCTCCTCCAGGTGGAGCTCACGTGTTGCCTCCCTCGGTCCCCAGACCCGCCTGGCCTCCCCACAGTGTCCTTCAGCGTCAGGCCAAGACACTGCTCTGTAGGCCAGAGCAGCCTCCTCCTCCACAGCTGTCCCACCTTTACTGCAGCCCTGGGGACCCGATGTGGCCCAGCTGTGGCCACTGGCCCAACACCTTCCCCAGCCATGGCTTCCCAGCAGCCTCCACGTGTAACCCTGGCACTGGATTCAGCCCCTCCATAGCAGCTGGGTGGGATGATTTTGGGGCTCAGCAGAACTCCCTGCTGAACATTGGTACCCCTCCCTCCAGAGAGGCCTGAGAGCCCCACCTGCCCAGGAAAGAGGCGTGTGGAGTCTCATTTTCCTACCAGCCTCCAACAGCTGACCTCTTTGGAGGACTTGCTGTGTGCCAGCCCTCCTGCCAAGAACCTTCACGGCTTCTGCTTGCTTACTGATTTTGCTACTGGGAATTGGACCTTGCACTTTGCATATGGTAGACAAGAGCTCTACCACTGAGCTACATCCACACCCCCTTGTGCTAATTTAATCTTAAGAACAAAACCTCTGAGGTTGGCTCTGTTAGGCCCCATTTTCTAGGCAGGGAGATGGAAGCTCAGAGATCTGCTGGGAGCTGGCCAGGCTCTTAGGCCTGTGTTGTAGTTAGGGCTTGCAAGGGACTAGATTTACTACAGGACACATAATTTATAGGGTTATTTTATAATAGTCACCCTAAAAGTCAAATGCAGAGGAGTGCAAGAGATGAACCACACACTAGGGCCCCAAAGAATCCAGCCAAGGGCCTGGATCCCACAGAAATGTCCCACACACATCCAGCTGAAGGCCTAGAGTCCAAGGTAATGTTCTCCATGAGTTCAGCCAGTGGCCTAGAGCCCACGGCAATGCCTCACGCTTGTCCGTATAGAGGGTCTGCACCCAGAAGGCCCAAAGGCCAGTGGAGAAGCCAGAAGATCTGCACCAGTGGTGTGAAGGATTTGTGCCACCAGGCTGAAGGATCCACACTGGAGCCAGGAAGTGATGCTCACAGTGAAGATCAGAGCTCCCCTGAGGGCAACAGCAGCCATTCCCAGTGACAGGTAGTCCCTGAGCTCCTCCGATGGGAGAATGGCCAAGTTCGAATCCGGAAAACCAACCGCAGCAAGCTTCTGCTAGAAAATCAACAGC